CCGCTCGTTGTGTTTCAAAGTAGGCCGGATTTCGTCTTCAAAGGTTGGGCCGTAGATGGAGCGGCCACCTTTCGGGTTTTCGGGCGGGGATGGGTTGGCCGGAGCACCGGTTTGGACCATGAAGGAGGGGATCATCCGGTGGAAGGGGGAGGAGATGTAGTAGCCGGAGGCGCAAAGGGCTAGGAAGTTCTGGGAAGAGAAAGAGATGTTAGCGATTGTGTTTGGAAAATAGGTTGGAGAGGGAATGGGTTGTTGTTGTTATTTGCCGACTACTGTACTTTCGTCACGAGGGGCATGAGACGACGGAGAGAGAAGGGAGAGGACGAGGGAGGGGAGGGAAAGAAGACGTACCTCGGCGGTTTTGGGAACGGCTTCGCAAAAGATTTCGATCTTGAGATCGCCGAGGGTTGTGTGGAGTGTTACGGACATGATGGCGGATTGGTTGTCTTTCGGCACTTTGATGTTCTGGTGATGTTTTGGTCAATTGGAATCTCGAAATGTGACGTGCAGTTCGCGATGTCAATTGATTGCCAGCGGCAGCTATCTTGGCGTTTATGTGCGGTACGATGAGCCTGCCGGCGCCAACGCTGCCGTTACGCTCGGCGGTTGCCTGGGGGGCGGCCGATAGGGCTGGTATGGTCAAAGCTCCCAGCTACATGCGCAACCAATCAGATCTCTCAAATCCTGAACTTCAGGTCCGGCCCCCAGCAGCGGCCCCGGGGGCCCCTTGGCCCTTGCTTGCCATCTGTGAAAGTGTCCGAACTGGGGATAGACAATGATCTGTTTTTAAGAACTCTCCCTGCAGTTTGTTGTTTCTAAACTTCCGATGAAGGTCGTTGAAGGCGCATTGTCTTAGTTGGGAATACTGTTCTGGATGCGTAAAGGGATCAAAAAAGTGATAGTCAGGCACCAAGCTGAAACGGCCCGAGCAGGTACAGTATAGTCTGATAATGACGATGGAATTTCCCGCGTTGTCCGCATTGTGGATTACTGAGGTCAACTTTGAGATTGGAAGTCGATGATGGAGGAGTCGGGAAGTTCCAAGTTTATAAGATATCAAGATCCGGGTTCACCGATATGCAGCTTGGTTGAGGAACCGGGACGGGGGTTGCTAAGTGTCATCTTGGAATTATAGGCGACCTCGATCTCGTTGTTGAAAAGAGTTTGAAGTCTCAAATTCTGAGATGTTCATCCCATATCGTTTTCTATGAAAAACAAAAAGTTCAGATGAATGCTGTCAGCTCAACTTCCACTTCTCCACTTTAACCGTCCATCCCGCCTGCCCCCCGGGCCACCAAGAAGCTGAAGGATGCTAGCGACGGACCTGACGCTGTAACAGTGCAGCCTTGCACCTGCGCGTGTTAGCGACCGCCATCCCCGTTCCTCCCCACCGCCTACAAGGAAGGGGAGACCTTGGGGATAACCCTTGAGCCTGGAGGTTGGTGACGCTTGAGTTCTGTGAGGACCACAGGAACGTTGACCGGCCTAGGTATCTTCAGCTTCCATCTTTCTCTCTTCCGTCTCTTTAGATCCACTTTTACTCCTGGTCAATATCCCGCCGGCTCAGCGGCTCTTTACGTCTTCCTCTTGAGGTTGCTTTGAGATTATCACCTGAAAATCGAAAACAGGGGACCAAGCTCGCAAAGCTCTCTTCTTGTAGCTTCTGCCGCCGCGACTACTTTACACTCTTGGCGCCTGTCGGCCGCGCATCTTGTCACACCTCACATTCGCTTTTCCCCTCCACCTCCTACAACCCTTCACGCCGGGACTTCAGTCATCAAGCTGACGTCCAACACTGGCACTTGTCCCGACTCGACAGCATCCATCTGACGTGGTGTCTTGCCGTTCCGATAGCTCCAATACCTCCTGTCGCCATTGGACCCCTCCCGAATCCCGATATCCCGTTGACGGACAAGGCGACCCCGTCTCAGAAGCTGACTATCCATCCCGTCTTGGAGCTCTCACTTCACTCTTGACGTTCCCTTCGATATTGCAACCTTTAGACTGGGACGACGACTTCCCTTCTTCGCCTCTGGCCCCCAACGCGGCCGGCCTATAGAGGATTCCCGCGCCCCAACTCAAGGAAACGCTGCGCCAACAACTCGCGGTTGTGCAATTTGTACCACTTTGCCATCCATTCGATTTGCTTCTCTTAGCCTAAGCTACCGTCAACAAACAGTTGGGTGTACCATTCACCTTGCACCATCCCGCTCACTACTGGTAGTCGAGGAACCGTCAAGCCCACGATACTTGCACAACTAGTCCGTTCTGTCCGTCTCACCAACTCCACGGCGCCTCTTTTCCCGTCCAAGCATAAGCGACGACATTGACTACCCACGGCTGCACCATAGCGACGACGCGCATCAATTGCGACATTGCATTCCCTCTACGATAACTGCGGATGGGATGCAGCAACCCTGCAAGTGAACCCCAGCCTTATCGATACAAACATTCGCGATCGCCAGGGGCCCGAAGGCGACCTTCCTTCCAAGCGCTTCTCTTGCCGCCCCTCACGAACCACGGGACCGCATTCCACCTCGGCGACTTCCCAGTTGTGGTGCGGCGAGGCCGATTTCTACACTACGTTCATGATCGAGACAGTTACTAGTACCGCTATCCTCGACCGTAATCTCACTATAATCACGACGAACCTCTTCCAAACGACTTTGCGCCCGGCGCTTACGGCACGATGAATGGTCTAATTGCACAGTACGCCCCGGCCACGGTCAGGATATCGGGGCCGCCCAACAGCAGTTTTCTGGTGGGCTATCCCGGTATCTCTGCTACCTTGGTAAGTTCTCTTCTCTTTTTCTGGGGAAATCGCATATGCTGACTCCCTCTTCACAGCCAAGGATAGTAGGTAAAGTCGAGATCCGACCAAGCGCCGGCTTTTCCGCACCCGTCAGCGTATCCATGGTGCGCATCTGCCTCCAGCGACGAGAAACTATACACCCTGCTGCCGAGAACATGGCAAAACGACATCTCGGTACACCGCGACGCGAAACTGTGGACCTGGTGGGCAAAGAGGTATTGCTGTTTCGATGTGTGTCGGGCAAAGAGGCGGAAAGCGTAATAGCCATGGATCTTCCGTTCCAAATATTTATACCCTACGGCCGAGGAGGGGAGGAAATAAATCGACGAATCCCACCTGCGAGCTTGCAACTACCCAGCCGAATTGCCGAAACTTACTACGAGCTCGTGGTTACCGTACAACAAGGCCAGAGCACACAAAACCGATACACATTTCCCATACCAATACAGCGATACGATACCCTTTCGACATTTGGCATGTACAACCGGCCGGAAAGCAAGGTGGTAACGGCGGACAGTATCGTGACCTTGGGCATCTCATTACCAAAATGGAGTTACGGGCCACTGGATCCAATAACGGTGTTTATCAAGCTAGCGCCAAATCCAGACATGATGAGCAAGGCGAAAAAGGTTACGATAAATAAGATAACGTTGGCTATTGAGGAGGAGATCACATTCAATCCCGAAGGCGACGAGCCAACCAAGAAAATCAACAAGATTGCCAAGCACACACAGCCAGTAGGGGTCAAGTTGACTGAGACCGGCTATGTCACAAATTTGGGTCTGGTCTTTCCGGCACGAGACCTACGAGACCCGGACGGCATCATCAAGCGTGGGAAACCCGGGTTTCCCATGTACGAAGTTACGAGCTTTACGACGTCATCGACACTGTACAAGATCGAGTTCTTTTTGAGTATAAAAGTGAGTTAACCAACCTAGGCTAGAGAGAAATAGGTCACTTATACGTCAAGCAGGCACACATGAACTCGGCAAGGGACATCACTTTGCGACAACCGATTGTTATCTGCCCGATGGACCAGCAAGCGTGTAGGGACGAGATGGACGCGATTGAGCAAGCAGCAAAGGATGCGTCCAAGGTCGACCCGAATAATCCGATGCTTCCAGACCGAGTCATTGTCCGTTCGAATGAGCGGGACGCAATACGGCATCTCGGGCTATGTGAAGTGGGAGGGGTGAAGAAGATATTGATCGAATGAATGGACCAATAACCGACAAACCTCATGATTACTGCGATATACTGTCCGCTGAGGTTCGATTCGAGACAATACCCATGCGCCGAGAAGAAAGGAGGCCGCCCGTCACACCAGGGGTAGTTCGTGGGGTCGAAACAGCAAACATGGCGTCAAAGGGGGTTCTGTGACACATGTTCACCATGCTGTACGGCCGTTGCAGTAATGCCCCGCCATTCTGTGGCCCGGTCAAACGTGTGGTGTCCTCTGCTCCATAACACATTGCACGTCGGTGACGGCTCTGCAGGTGCGAGCCTCAAAGACCGGTCAATTTCATGGAGAGGATGACCCATATTTGAACCATAACGGACGGGGAACCCTCTTCAGGGCATATTTCGACAACAGATAGCATCAAAGGCCGCGCTTGGGAGGATATCTGTGTTTACACTATTGTTCATTGTGCCAGGAGGCGCAACTCAGGAAGGTGGTTCTGGGGCGTTCTGGTGACATTTTGCGGGGTGATCTAGGGGATGGACAAGGACCATCAGGAATGATGACCTACTCGGAGGATATACCGGGGCTAGAAAGGCGGGTAATAAAGGGGCAAAGGTCATGAGGATCACGGATGTTTCTCTACATTATAGCGCGGGAACACGACGGTGGCATAGCTCCAAGGGATCCATAGGATCAAATGAATCAAGGAGGGTACTAGTCAGATAACTCTGTGAGTGGCGGGTGTGTACGTTAACGAATCACAGAAATATTGCAATGATGGATGACAATCATATAAAGCTCAAATATCCTAGCATATGCCGTTGGAAGGCGTTCAGGTAGTGAAATGGAGAAGGTTCGCGAGTCAAAAACAAATATCCCTGATCGTGACATCACAACAACTTCCCGGTGGATCCATCACCATACCGACAGCAAAAAGGAGGTTCAATGCCCATCAACAATGCTTTCCAACAATGAAGCGGAAAACAGCAAAAAAGATATTTGCGTTGACAAGGACGAGATTCGAACTCGCGAGGTTTCCCATTGCGGTTTCAAGTTAATCATAAGATAACCTAAACACAACGCCTTAACCACTCGGCCACCTTGCCTAGTGAGCTATTGTTGAAGAAATAAGGCCTGCTTAGTGACTTATGTATGTGGCTGCGTGGGGTACCTAGTGTACGTGGCAGGCAGGGAGCTAAGGTATGGAGTACGTACTGCGGGTAAGTCTCAACTAGGGGGATCCACTTTATTTTTCAACTTCATGCAAGCAGAACTTCACTTCTTTCATTCTCAAAACTTCCTCACTTCGACACGACACAACACAACTACTGGAAAGTCTTACCAAACTTCACCAACCGAAAAACCTCACCTTGGAAACTATCCACGAACAAACAAAACCTCACATCCGTAACCACACATAACAACAGCCCACCATGCCCCTCGACGACGACCTAGAGGACAATCCCACCCTCACCCCTCCTCCTCCTACCACCAACACTGCCACCATGGACGAAGGAGCAGCAGCCGGCGACTTAGAAGAACCCGAAGACGTCCCCACAGCCGACTTCCGTCTATTCGCCTCCACCTACTCCAAAACCAAAAACATTTCTGCGCAAACCATCCGCAAGGGAGAAAAAGATTTTGAATCGCACGGCACGCGCGCCCAACAGTCCGCACTTGATGCCTCCCGTGAAGCGATGCGGGATGTGCTTAGTTATACGAGGGTGCATCATACCGCTAAGCAAGGGGGGTGGTGTAGGGGGTGGGTTTTTGGGGATTGGTGGAGGGAGTGGCCTGAGGATTGGGAGGAGATGCAAAGGGCCAAGGGGGGTAAGGGGGAGGGGGAGGGAAAGGAGGGGGATGGTGAGAAGAGGGTGCTGCCGCCGTTGCATGTCAGGGATCGGGTGGTGGTGCTGGAGCATAGCAATGTTGCTACGCAGACTTTGGGTAGGGCGGTTACGGGGCTGCCGAAGGATAAACCGGCTAGGGGGAGGGAGTGGTTACTTCCCGAGGAAGCGCTGTATTTGGTGGAGAGAGGGAGTTTGGATTTGTGGTGGCCTACGAGGGGGATTGAGGAGATATTTCCGGCTGATGGGTCTTCGCCTTTTACCAACACTGCGACCAAGCCCACGACTACGACTACCGCCGGCGAAGAAGGAGAAGGCCAGGAAGAAGACGAGGAGGAGGACGATGAGTACAAATACGGCTTCCCCTTGTCTTTGCAGGCCGCATACGCTTTGCTCATTGGCGAAGATGGCGAGCGAGGAAAAGTCAGCTTGCAAAAGTTTCAGGTGTTTAGCAACTTGAAAAGAGCAGGTTATAACGTTATCAGGGCGCCGAGCTATTCGCCTCCTATTCCGGACGACATTTCCGCCACACAAGAGAAGCCGAAGAGCATCTCAGAATGGCTCATCTCCTGCCTCCCCTCCTCCAAGTCATCAGCAATTGACCACCCACCCTACGGCCCTCTCGTCCCACCCGGTCTTTATCGGTCGTACAGCACCATCTACAACCACCTTTCTCTCCGGCCCTCAGCCACCAGCCAACCTTCTCCCCCTGTCACACCCCAATCCAAGAGCGAGGACTCGCCATTCAAAATCCACTACCACCTCTACCGCGCCTCAACAAAATTCGTCCGCACCCGCCCCCCTCCACCCGATTTCTACCTCTCCGTCATCTCCGCCACCGACACCTCCATCCCCACCCTGACCGAAATCTCTTCTCTCCTATCCTCCGTCCCCGCCGATCTACCCAAGCAGGAATGGCTCACCGGCGGCCCCAGCAGACTTTATGCCCGCTTGAAGCATGGGTATAGGAATGTGCTACTGGCTGTTAACGACCATGGAGTTATCAACTATATGAGGTTTGCCAAGGGAGGGTTTGAGAGGGAGGAGCTGTTTAGGGGGTTGGATCAGAGGGTTGAGTGGAGTAATAACTGGAAGGCTGGGGGTGGGAAGGGTGGTGGTGGTGGTGGAGGGGGGAAGAAGAGTGGGAATAATGGTAGGGGATCAAGAGGAGGGCGGGGAGGAGGTCGTGGTGGACGGGGTGGTAGGGGAGGGAGGGGTAGAGGCAATTGAGGAATGGGCGAGGTAGAAGAACAAAGGACAAGATGATGATGGAGGACTGAGGAGATGGATGGATGGATGGTTGAAGGAGGTTTCTTGAATGAGTTTCAAGGCTTCAAGTCATGACGTGAACGAAACCTTGATAGCAACCCAGGAATGGCTCAGTGTCCTTTGGCATCGAAATACAGGGTATGTTTCCTTCGGCCCATAGTCTACAGACGCAGAACCGCATTTAGAAGAGTCTGGCAGGAGTCAACCTTTGTGGATGTTGTACCACGGGTCGGAAGACGGAGCTTGGTCCGCCATTGGACACTCTTAAGACCCATAAGATGAGAAGGAAAGAAAGGGGATGTTGCATACTGTAAAGGATAGATACCCAACAGGTAGACAAAAGTTAGAGAAAGGAAGATAACATGCGAATTATTGTCAATGTCAGATGGCGGGAGTCATGGGTGAGTGACGTTGAACTACCTCTAGGTATCGGATCGACTGCGGCTACGAAGGTCTTACATCACGAAGCAATCACTTGGCCTAGAACTGTTTGCACAATCTCGTTATTCATCTATCAACCACCTTAACCCCTTTGGAAACGCCTTGCGATGCTAATCCACTAATCAGTCTGGGTGTCCTTCTTGTTTTTTTTTTTTCCCCTACTCACTCTGCCTTCCTCGATATCCCAGATCTCCCTTTTTCAGTTTTGCCGCCAAACGGAAAGAGGGCAGCCACAAAACGATAGAAGAACTATATACAACGAACCAGGAAATGAAACCTTAAATGCCCGAAAATGATGCTATAAGACCCAGCCTAACCATAACCAGATCATCACCAACTCACTGAACTTTTTTGATCTCAGAAATGCAAAGCAAGCAAACACAACGAAACCGGGTATAAACTCGCGCGCCACATGCAAAGCACCAAAGCCGACTCAAAGGAAATCAAGATATGTAAAGGAACCCAGAGAGAAATCAACCACCAAAGCAGAGAAACAGAAAGACAAGAACATGAAAGAAAAGGAAATCAAAGCTATCTACCATAGGTATAATGAAGACCACTAAGCCCATTTTATCTTGACCACGCTACCAATCTCTGTCAGTGCTTGATCAGATCAATCCTTTCCTTCCTTCTTTTTCTTTTATGTATGTTCGCTGCGTGCAATAGGTATAGTAGCTAAACTTAGCCACCACCACTGTCACCACCAACCATCGCCATCTCCAAAGCCACATATACCTCTCAGAACCGAGTGAACCTAGTCCATGTGGCGGCCACTAGCCACCCACACCTCGTCTCCGGAGAAAAACAGCCATGGACACTGGTGAACTACCAGTGATTGTAAATCTCGCACTTGCCTGCGGCTCTTCTTTGAAATAATCGACCATGATAGGGGTATCTTTGCCGTCGCCAGCCAGTATGCTTCTTCTTCCTGTGAGCGCGGAGGAAAACCGTGAGTTCGGGCATCTGCCTCGTTTCCAAGCACTTAAGCCCAGATGAAGGTATGAAGACCCAAACTTCCTCTCCATGCTCGCGAAAACGAAACTCGCTCCCCTGATAAAAGTTCTTGCATGTAATCCACACTCCAGCTCCTTGAAGAAAAGGCCAAAGCTCTCGATACTCAAACAAACGCTCAACACCAACTTCTTTAACTTCACCAACTCCAGCTTCTCGTTTCTCAGCCCTTCAAGCTGCTCAAACAAAGAGAAACGGAGCAATAGAGAAATCGTCACCCCAAACCACCTCGTCAACGCCCTTGCGAGTGCACAACAATCCCGAAAACAAAAGCGGAAAAGCCAACGATATGATGGCAAAAGCTGGAGGTGCCACAAAAGCCAGGAGGTATGTATGACGAAGCCCCTCCTAGCCCTCTCAACCCTCCCTCACAGGAGAGTCGCTCAGAAAAAACTAGGCTTCGTCAAAACCCGATACTCCACATAGTCCTCACCATCAATATTGATAATCGTGCCCGAGCTGACCAGCTTTCCCTGGAACGGTCCCGAGCTCTTGCGCTCGTACTTGATGCCGCCCCACACCTTGGCGTCGTTGACACCCTGGATCGTCTCACCCGCAGCTTGGCTGTACTTGATCCTGTTGGTCTCCTGCGCGGCCCAGACCTTGTTGAGACGGTGGAGGTTGTCGTCGAACATTGATTTGTTGTTCGATCCACCAGATCCGTTGTTGGTGTTGTAGGGGCCACTGTTGGGATGGGGAGGAGGCGGCAAAAGCGCCTGAGAAGGAGGTTGAAAAGCGCCGGCTGGGAAATTGGCCGAGGTGGGAGTGCCGTTGCGAGAGGGAACGCCCGAGGCGCGTGAGGAAGGGCGGTTGCTGTAGGCCGGGATATCCTGCTGCTGGTGCTGTTGTTGCTGGTCGACCATACGTCTCTGCTGGTACGGACGGCCTTGGGAGGAAAACTGCGAAGAAGGGAGCTGCTGCTGCGGAGGAGGTGGCATGAACGGCTGCATGGCCGGGGTGATGTAGCCGCGGTTGGCGGCGCGCTGGTCGGCGCGCATCTGGCTGGCTTCGACGCGAGCGATCTCGCGCTGGGCGATGCTGTTGGTGCGCTCCAGGCGGTCGACTACGTCACGAGGGGGGCCGCGGTTAGCGGCGCGGAGCTGGACGTCGGGCAACGAGTGGCGAGGGGCGCGGTTACTCTGGCGGATGCCACGGAAGGGACCACCCTGCTGAGGGGGCGGGACGCTAGCGGGTCTGTCGATGCCCTCCATATCGTTGTAGCCATTGGCTTGCTCCAACTGCTGGTGGCGAGTACCGCGCATGGGCAAGGCAGGGGAGGAGTCAACATCCATCATCGAGTCATCCTTCGACATGCCCTGGGCGTGGCGCCTGAGGGCCTCCTCGACAGCCATCTGATCGTTCTTGTCGCTATCCTCGGAAAGCTCGCCCTGATCCATCATGCGCTGACGAACACGCACGTACTCCTTAACCTGGGGGCGGCTCATGCCCTGCAAGTGATCGAGGAAGTCGACATCCTCCCACTGACACCAAATCTGACCGGCGCCAATTGGGAAGTTGGCACCGACCTCCCTGCCATC